ATTTCGTCGTGAATCAGCGTTTCCCCGCCGAAAACTGAAAATTTCCTGCGGAAAAATTGAAACTCCCGACGAAAAAATATTTTCCCGCAGGAACTGGCGGAATCACGCTCATTTTTTTTCACTGGGTGTTTCTATTATACCACTCTATGAAATAATACAATAAATCTGTTTGCTGTAGAGCAAAATTTTTCTTTGGTTTTGTTGATTACGGAGCAGTACCGTAAAAACATACATAATTTATTAAATCAGTAATATATTCTTTATGATAATCAGTCTAAGGTTATGCTATACTTAACGTTTACTAGCATGTGGTACTTAACTGAATGTGATTTCGTTTGGAGAAATATCAGTCATAAGTGAATATGAGGAATGTATGATCAATTTTGTTGACCACCCATTGGAACTTTTGGAAGTTAATGCGAACATTTAAAAAGGTCTCATATTAAATTAGTTCATATTAATTTTTTTCCGATTAAAAATCATTTTGAATTGATTTAACTTGCTAAATTAATTCAAATCAGTTGAATTTTAAGCCATTCGAATTAGTTTATCAAGTTAAATCAATTCAGATTGATTGTTAATCAGAAAAAAATTAATGTGAACTAATTTAATATGAGACGTTTTTAAATTACTTCGCATTCATTTCCAGAATTTCCAATGGGCACTGTATATCCGATGCTACTTTCTGTCGACAGAATTGCTTCTTCTGACAGTACTGCTGTTGTCTTTTTCTTTTCTTTCTTAAATGAAGGTTAAACTAACAAATGTACCAGAATTGAGTGCGCTCTTTTCTAGGAGTAGCCATCTATCCTTTCTGAACATGTATTTTATCCATTATACAATGGCGCATAGAAATTGGCAACTGTATTTAAGATACACACACGGTCATCTTTAAAATAAACATATGTCGAGCTAGAATTGTTCCTGCAGAAGAACTATGAAATAGATATTTTGTCAGAAACTGTCAAATAAATTGAGCAGGATCATTTCTGGTATTTTTTCGATATCGAGTACATTTCTGACCTATGCTGGCTGTATGTGACATTCCGAAACAATTTATAGTTGTACTATATTCCGATTAACTATTGATCAGAATTTTTCTTTCTTCAAAAGAAAAATTTAGCCGTATGTGGGTACCAGCTCCACTAATCGAACACACTAAATGAGACATCCGAAGTCCGGGTATCTTACTCCTATCCCAATATTCGTTGAATAGATCAAAAAAGATTAATTACAGAGATTTTTTCTTTTAGTACAAGCTATCTGGACAAATGATAGTTCGGACAAAAAGCCGAATGTTACAGAACCTTCCTGTCTCAAGTCTGAAACTGATCGCGTAAAACCAGGGCTGTCTGTTGGTAATGGTAAACATTTAACACAACCATTTAAATGTACACAATCTTCATCCTCATTTCTCGGACTTCACGATGGTATCACATCGACGGCTTTACATCGACCCTCTCAAGGCTTAGAAGCTGGAACTGAACATTCCTCCTCGGCGTGTCAGTTAGATACATTACAGCAACGCTCAGTAAAAAGTACACTACCAATATCGAACACTTGTTTTCCGATTCAGGATTCTAACAATGTGAAAGAAGACGTGAACAATATTTCGTACAATCGAAGTTTAGCTGGTTGTATACTTTTAACGTCAGCGCATCTGTCGAAAATATTTTACTATGTGGAGCATGGCTGTTTCCAGGAATTTCGTAAATTACTTGAATTACATTATGTAGAAGCAGTACAAATGAAAAATGAAAAAGGCCAGGTAAGAGAACATTTTAAAATTCATATTTCATGTCTCATTTAAATAATCTGGTTTGTTTCACATCTCGTTACTTTGGCTCTATTGACCGCTGCAAAATATACACGTATGCAGGTATCTATCGATGTTCTAATGCATTTCAACTACAGCCTATTCAAAATAAAAGACGGATTTATTGGCTAACGTTTGAATAAAGACAGACGCCAATCTGCAGTTTTTCGGTCCACATCTTTTCGTTAAAACATGACTGTGATCTTTCCACCCGAGACCCAAATTTCTCCAAGAGTTTCGACCAGGACTCGAGTTTCCCCCTGGTCTCTGTTGGAATAAAGTGTAATAAAGCCTAGTGCTAAGCAGTATGAATTTATATTACACTACAGTTATAGCGTTCTGTTCAGCAAGATGGTGTAGTGCTCAGCGGATTGCAGCTCAAAAGATGGCTTTGAGTTTCAGTATACGAAAAGCGCTATATGTATTGAAATTTAGACTTAGACTTAGACATTTATTTGACAACACAAAAGTAGTTTGATCAGAGGAGCATCATTTAGTATCCTACTGAGCACCACGCTTTTTATGTTGGCACTTTGTTTAGAAAAGTAATAACTCTCTCCGAAGGTCACAGCACTCCTAAAGGGAGCAAAACAGACTGTTGAGCACTACTCAGTGTACCAATTATTTATAGAATACGGCCTGTTATGGAGGGGTTAATGAGGGGAACTTGGACCCGAGCCGAAAGGATGGCTGGTAGTTAGGTCCGGACCGAACGTCCTTCTCGAATATGACTTTGGGTCGTGGGCCGAAATTCCGGCCTCCCATTTCTAACTGAAATGTCCTCTCTAACAAGAAATCAAGAAAACATTAACCGGAGAGAGAGTTAGAACAGTTCATCGAACGACATGAGTTTTTAAAATGTATCGAAGGTGAAATGTAAAAAACTTCTTCGAACCTCTCTGTATTTTTGAAAAAATAATCGTACAAGTGATTTTGAACAACTATTAAGTTATTGAATACGAAAAGAAATTATATGTCCTCATGATAGGTCAAAATTGCTCTGGCATAAGTCAGTGTGATCTATGTCATTCTTTCATCAAGAATAGGGTCAATGAACTCTAAGCATCTTTGAATATTAGCTTTCTAAACTGTTAGCATTTTAGACGATTTTACATGTTGCTGTTATACAATCATTTGCTTATGTATGGATTCGATTGTTGTTGATGAGAGAAGTTGATGCATGTACAAAAGACAAAGACGGTTACACAGCCGCGCATTATGCTGCTGAAAAAGATGATTTAGAAATGTTGAAAGCGCTCACAATTAAGTTTCATGGCCAAGTAAAATTACCATCCAGCAATGTAGAAAAAGTTCATGCTAATTGCATGAAAGCACTTACAATAACTGAACAGTCTGGTGAGTTTTGCCATTGACTGAATAAACCATCCTAAAAATGAACTATTTTTGCTATGTTTAGGTATGACAGTTTTCATGTTGGCTTGCTATAAAGGGTCTATCAATTGTGCTAGATACTTACATGAACAACAACCGCACAATAATGTAAATCTGACGGTAAGCTCTAAAACTAGACACTGGGCCAGATTAAGTCTTTTTAATGGAAACCACAGTCCTTTGGTGTCAAACTCAGATTAAAAAACTGGATTTTTTTTAACCTGATTGAGTAATTTTTAAAACTTTGTTCTAGGCTTAAAAGGTGCAGAATTTTGTGTAGTTGTAAATGGTATGCTTGTCTCAGAATAACCCTAGTGAAACTTCTTGTAATCAAGATCTTGACTTCTTGAATTTTTTCAGTATGGGCTTGATTCAAGAACTTGGCAAGAAAATGTAAGAATTTAAGAAATTTCAAGAAGCCAGGATCTTGAACGTCTTATAATCCCTTGACTTCTTGTACCAAGATTGTGGAAATTCTTGCATCATCGTTTTGTTTTCGCTCTTGTGTAAATATAAATGCGAATATTTTCACATTTAGAATAACTTCGACTTTTTTTCCTTCTTGAACATAGTTCTTTAAGCAAGAATCTAAGACGCTATACGGTCGTATATCCAGTGGCTATGACTATCATAACTAAAAACAAAATGTAAAGAAATTTTTTCAATCAAGCTCTTGCAACATCTTGAGTGGATTCACTCAAGATCTCGAAGTTTCTGTTCTCGGGATGTTGCATGAAAGATTCAAAGAATCCAAGCTCTTGACTTCTTGGTATTTCTTCCAAGATCTTGTGAGATTTCTTAACCTTCTATCTTGGGTACAAGAAGTTTCACTAAGGAAATTATTTTGCTTTCTTTAAAACTTTCAAAATAGTAAACTCTATCGAAAACTCTCTCATTATGAAACTGTGTCGTGTTTAATCGAGCGTACCCACAAAAAAATGCAAAGAATTCTCTATACTTTAAACTACACTGTGATCTTTGATTAATATCTACTTTATAGAAAATCGACTCAAAATTCGCAGAGTAATTTCCAGTTTATAGAAATTCCTTGACGAATCTCGAACTTCACAGAAAATAGTGAATTTCTACTTTGACGAAAATTGATTTGAATTGTAAAATCGATGAGGGTTTTTTCGATTGAAGGTTTTTTCTAGTATGTTAGCGCAGGCCATTATATTGTGCCGGCGACTTTCTTTTTTCTTGTTTTCATCATCGTACATCTGCTGAATGATTTACAACATCTACACATTCACTAGAGATTTTGAAAAATGTTGCTTCTCGGAAGTTTAATCAAACATATTGCAGCCACTGATTTACCAAGAGAGGAAAATGTTTTAAATGTTGTCAAATTATTCCGCGAATGTACGATTGAACGTATACTGCATATTTACGCAAAATCAACAAACCGTCTGCATTTCAACTGTTACTAACACTCTAGCAAGAAAAAATTCTGAGGTGGCTGTAAAAGAGATTGGAAAGCTGACAGATCTCGCTCATAAAGACTATTTTTCGGTATCCTTTTAACTATCGTGAACGGCGGAAATAATATTCAAAAAAGAATTAAAATGTACAACAGTTTGAGAAATTGAAAAAAATTGCCAAATTCATCTTTGATTCACTAGATTTACAAATTAGAAAAAATCATTTGCAAAGAATCGGTTTACATTTGAATCGTGCAGGTTTAAAGCATGTAACCCCCCTCCCCAAGTCAAGTTCTAAAGGGTGGTCTTCTATTGCGGTCAGATTTTATTGCCTGCTAGTAGTCCAACGGTAACCTCACGTACTTGAAGTCCGTCCCCTATTAGAAGTACATTTTGGCGAAATTTTTTTGAAAATTCCTCGATTTTTTTTGCGGACATAATAGAAGACCACTGGTCTTCTAGGAGTTAGAAGACCATGGTCTTCTAATAGGGGATGGTCGTCTAATAGGGGATGGTCTTCTAATAGGGGATGGTCGTCTAATAGGGGATGGTCTTCTAATAGGGGATGGTCTTCTAATAGGGGATGGTCTTCTATTAAGGAGGGGGGGAGGTTTAGTTGAAATTTTGTGTATTCATTTCACGAAAAAAACAAAAAAATCGAAATGGTATCTAAATCTTGTGGAAGATGTGTTTCTCTCACGTTTTCTTTTTAGCATTCTAGTTTTCCTTTCGATGCTTTCTTCTAATTTTAGATTAATAATTTTTTTTGGAGTGAAGTCTCCTATTTGTGTCTTCATTGTATAGCCTACACTGTAAAGTTGGAAATTATTTATAGAAAATGCTCGGTGAATTTCAATATATGAATATATTCATATATGAATTTCTCAAGCAATTTCTAATTTATAGAAAATCGAATTTCCAAAAAATATAGAAATTCCTCCTCGAGTTCTCCTTCATTGGGAATTAATTCTGGAAATTCGACGTCGGTTTCCCAGAAACTGGAAAATGTTTGAGAAATTCATATATGGAGTCTTTGATATTCGCCAAACATTTTCTATAAATAATTTCCAACTTTACGGTAAACAGAAAATAATTATGTAACAAGATCCATAACTTATAAATAGCCCACAATAAATCATATACAACTTTCACTTGCAAGTTTTTGTGAGTGGACGTCACAACAAGAGCCAAAAGAAGGCATCTACTACGTGCAAGAACTCTCATTCCAAGTACATGACAGAGAATTTTTTTTTTTTTTTTTTGTTTTGTAGTAAACACCTATAGCTAGGAGTCGACAGAGCCCGATTTTTGAATTTCTCATTTACTTTAATTTCTAGTGTTTAATAGAACTTTAAAGTCCGAAAAATCCTTGAAAGGTTTCTTAGAAATCCTCATTCTATAAAAAATGGAAGCATAATTTAAAAATCGGACTCTGTCAAATCCTGGCTATAGATGTTATCTACAAATTTGTGTTACAAAAATTTTCTTTCTCCATTGTATCTTTATCGAGAATTCCTGCACATGGCGAAAACTCTGAAGCTAAAAAACAGTCTTGAGAAAAAAGCAAAATACATTTCGATTCTGTTAAATGCGTTTTAGTTAAAAACTATTTGAGCATTAAATGATTTGTTGATACTTTGCTAGAGATTATCGGTCATGGCAGCTTAATTTTTCAAACCTTTTACCTTCCATAGAAAAATTAAATTAAACTTACGCTCTTTTGTAACAAAAACTAAACGTTATTATTTCATAGGTTTTGCAGAGCTTAGATAGCTGCCTCGTTTGGTACCTAGTCATTACTTTTATGACTAAACGTCAGATAACCTTACTTTGAAAAAAGGTTACTTTGTAAGTCCTAATGATAGTTTTTGACGGGCTTTACTAATTCGAAAGTTTTAAAGAAAGTATAATGATTTATTCTAAAACAAGTATACCATTAAAAACTCGATAAAATTCTGCATCTTTTAAGCTTAGAACAAAGTTTTAAAAATTATTCAATCAGATTGAAAACAATTAAGTTTTTCAATCTGAGCTTGACACTCAAGAGCTACAGTAATATTGTAACAAATAATTCTTTTCACATGCTAAGTAATCAAAAATATCACTCAACTGAAGTTAATAAAAGCTTGAGATAAAAATGGTAGCTAATAGTAGCAAAAACATGTTTTTTCGTGATAAAATTGTGGAAAAAAAGAGATTCTCGTCTTAACAATCACAATAGTGCTCCAACACATTAATTTAAGCTTATGACTGATGAAGGTGGTTTCGTCTTCTGTTTAGGATGTTTACGGTGATACATCACTGCATTATGCTGTTGCGCACAACAATAAGAATCTAACAGAATTTCTTGTGAATGAATGTCAGAGTGATGTCAATGGTGGAAATGAAAAACGTCCGAGTCCTTTAGATATTGCTTTCTTTAATAAGAGTTTAGAGCTAGAAAAATTATTATTGTCTAAAAATGGAAAAAGTCGATTTCAAATTAAACGTGAAAGTAAAAAGCGTAAATTATTCGAAGATGATCTTAGTTTCGATATGGAGCGCTTATCGATTGAACAAGTGAACAGCCGATTGATTAAGTTAGAATCAGACTTTACTCCTGATTTTCCAGTTGTCTAAAAGGTGGAGGTGATGAACAGTGGGTATCCAGACGAACATTTGGTGAAAAATCGAAAGTGGGCTTGTTCAAGATTCGCCTAGTATCATATATACTTTGATAGACGAGTTATCTAATGGTCTAGAAATTTTTGTTACAAGTGCTGAATTTTTGAAAAAAATGTGTCAGCAAAAAGGAATCTGAATTCTAGCAAAGCAATCTCTGAGAGAAGCATTTTTTTCTAATAGACGAAGTTGTTTTAAGTTTGAAAACTTTACATATTCTGAACCTAGACGAATAAAAGTCGAAAAACATAAGCATTTAGAAGTGTTTCTGACGCCTACTCTAGAATGGCAAACACATTGTGATTATATAATTAGAAAGTGTAATAAGATATTATTTTTAATGCGAAAATTTAAACTTCTCTTTAGCACTAGTACTCTGCAACAGATCTACCAATCTTTAGTTTCGTCGATTATTCTTTATGGTTGCGAAGTTTATTCTAGCACTACAAATGAAAACATAGCAAAAATCGAGCGGTTTCAGTACGAACTAGCTAAGGTAGTTAGTGGCGCGTTACACCTGACTAGTAAAGAGAAATTACTCAAAGTTTTAGGATGGCTACCGTTTAGTAAGGTATTTGAATATCGAAAAGTGAGTCTCATGCAAAAAATTGTGATAGGAAAAGCACCTGAGGTTCTACAAAACCGTGTCACATTTATACAAAGTAATCGAAATGGTTTAAGGTCGCAGAATCGGGATGTATTTTTAATTCAGGAAAATGTGACAGCAAAACGCAAACCCAGCAAACAAACAAGAGCATACGATCTTTGATTTTTTCCTTTAACCATAAAATTATGGAATCAACTCCATATAAAATTGCGAATGGCCAGTTCTATGAGAAAATTTAAAAAACTATGGGATGAGTTAAAAGCTATACGTCAGAAGAAACCAATAGTGAAAGATATAAATAGAAGAGCAGATATCGTTTTTCATCAGATGCGAGCGGATCTTTCTACACTCTAACATGATTTATACCGTAGAAGAATCGATAAAACACCAAATTCACAATTCTGCTCATGCTCTGATTTGGAAACAGTAGAGCATTTCTTTCTGCAATGTCCTGACCACACAATTGCTCGGAAAACATTATTTGATACATTACACGAGTGTGATCCTGATCTGAGTATAGATATCAATATCCTTCTACTATCTTCTCCTTCTCATTCTTCCAACTTTGAACAATATGTTAAAGTTTACAAAGCGATTACTGTCTATATATGTGAAACTAAACGTTTTGTAACAAGTTAAACAAGTTTTCTGTGCTAAACCTTGTCTTTTTCTTTTTCTAATGTGTGTGCCATATTTTACTGAAGCCCAAAATGTTTTTCTATTTGTAAAATCTTTTCTGTAATTCTAAAACAATCAGTCTGTTCTATTTATTTCACTGTTTACTAACTAATTTACTAACTTATTCATTCAATTTTTGATGGTGTTTTCTATCTGTATTGCAGGCCTTGTGTTCACTATATAATGGCAATGCCGAATTAGTAACACTGGAGCTCTATACTTTATATTTATTCAAATAAATAGCTTAAACCAATCTAGACGGTGTTATCTTTCGATCTGTAGAAAAGGTTTTCTTTTTGAACTTACGACATAACAGAAAAAAATAATTTTCCGAGATAACTCTATTCTCAAACAGGCACTTCAAATGTAATTAGGCTGCTAAATTTTTCTAAAGTATTATATCACTCAAAACTAGTGCAAAGTGCTCTGTAACATGTCATGAATCTATGGTGAATGCAACTACTGGCCTAGACTTGGATATGGTTTTTTCTCCAAAAAGCCCTGTTTTTTAAATAAAATACTTTTTTCTCAATCCGGGAACATTTGTACAAGAAAATAATGTGATATTTGGAATCAGCGCATAAAACTTCATCGAATCATGTATAACTTGCTCATTTTCTGATAATGATAGCAGATTTGAATCTCATATTTTATTTACTAATTAATAACTAACTAAAAATCGACCTTTTTTCAAATAATATTGACTTCACAATGAAATGTTGCATAAAACGAAAGATTTGAAGTTATGATGGTTCCTACAGTAGGGTGACAGAAGTGTAAAACTTTCTTGTTGAGAAATCTAAAGATAATTCTCAACTGTGTAATCTTCAAACCAAAGCATGAGAAAGGAACGACGCTAACCATTATGAATTGTTAGTTTATTGCACGATTGTATTATTTGAGGCAATCCTGTCGTTAAAGTACACTGATAGTATACTGGTCTCCGCTCAAATTTATAATAAGAAGAAATATTAAGGACTTTTACGATCCTGATGAAGGAACAATTCCAAGTGAGGCGCTCTGATTTTGTTCAAACCTGACAATTTATATGTAATCCAGGGTGCTGATTACGGATATGATAGCCGTTTATGCCCATAGAGCTTCTCTGGAGAACCGGTTTTCTAGAAATCCCCTGTGATCCTAGCAATGTTCTATCAACATGTTGGGATTGTAGCCTGAAAATTTTACATAAAAATGAGACGCTTCCCGGCTCTCCACGACCTTTACTTGCAAGGGTACTGAATTTACAAGAGAAGCCCTAAATGTTCGTTGTCAGCTCAGAGCTATAGAAAGAAAAAGGAAAATTATTTTAGGGTTTCTGTTGTAAATTCTGGGACTTTGCAAAAAAAGATCGTGGAGAGCTGGGAAACATCTCATTTTGATGCAAAATCTTCAGGCTACAATCCCAACATGTTGATTAAATATTGCTAGGGTTTTAAGAGATTTCTAGAAAACCAGTTCTCCAGAGAAAAGCTACGAAAGGTCTACGGGTACAAACGGCTATCATATTTGTAATCAGCACCCTTGATTACATATAAATTGTCAGGTTTGAACAAAATCGGAGTGCCCCACTTGGGAATGTTCCCTCGTGAGACAATGTTTCACTAATCAGAACCCCAATGAGAGTATCGACAAATATACGCCGATAGCCATTGAGTTAATTACAAATCCGTCCAATTCCACCTAATTTTTTTAAACAGGATGGCCAGCGCTGAATCAGTGGGAAGCAGAAGAAAAAGATTTTATTCATAGCTACAAGTTTCTTGCCTTGTTGAGCCCAAATCGTGTCTTATGATCGTGTCTCTAACTTAATCTACACAGAACCCATAGTGATATATAAAAATGATTACAATTTCTTTCACAAAAGAGAAATGAGAAATAGTTTGTATTTAGAAATATGCCGAATTGAAAGAGCTACAAAATAAGCCATAATATGTTGTTCCAAACTTAAATTTTAATAGACTTATTGGCAAAATACCGAACGAATGCAATGATTTTGATCTACACTAAATACTGTACAAGCATGATGATTATTGCTTAAACTACGCAACAAAAGTTTAAGCCCTTTTTTATTTGACTTTTTTTGTCAATCACGTCAGCTAAAGGAATTCTAAAGAATGCTTTGAGCAGCTGAAACATTTTTCGTCCGTCGGTGAAACATGCGATGCACAGTGGGCATTTTTGGCTAGAGCAAGCGGACATGTGGTTTTATTCACGAAATAGAAGTGCTAGAATGATATTAAAAATAGTTTCCCATAGGTTATCGAGTACGCTCTATCCAATGGTGAGGTCAAAATCCGTTTCCGAAAACTTTAGTTTTAGTGGTTTTCTGGAAAACCGGTTTTTGGTCGAAAAAGTGAACTTTTTGTTAAAAGACTGACTTGATCCACTACAGACAGCCTGAGAAATATAAAACAAAACGTTTTCTCTTTTTAAAGAGGTAGGACAACCGTATGAGCTTGCAAAAATCGCATTTAAACTTATAATTCTTAGTGATTTATAAGTTTAATTGCGGAAGGGACGTTAGCCGTTGATGTCTTACATTCAACGTTTCTCCTCCTCACCACGGAGAGGTCTCCCTTCATAGAGGAGGATGAATTCATCTTTGCAAGCTCATGGAATCAAATTGTAAAATAGAAGATGGTAACTAAAAAAGGACTAAAAGGAATAGACTAAAATCTACTAAAAAACATAAAAGATTTATTAAAAGATACTGTTCAAATTAAAAATTCGGGGAGAGCTTCATCTCCTACATGTTCACCGACAAAAGATTCCCAACGATGAGCTTTGCGCTTTAGGCTCGTACAGAACACGTTCAAGAAAATTGTCAAGGTCTGTGCGAGGAGTGCCAGCCTAGATGGAAGCGCGGACACATCCCACAACACAGACCTCTACAGCTCTTGCACGTATTCTGTACGAGCCTAAAAGGCCGCTAGCAGGTTTATGTAGTTGCTTTAAAACTATCACAATTTTCAAGCCAAAAGTTTACTCAAAAGGATTTCATCTTCGTTGGAGCTACTACTAGCCGATGTTGAAAGAGAACTCACTCGTTTGCCTTTCTTTGACTGTGATCTATCGATAATATTACGGAGGACAGGGTCACTTCGGACAAACAAGCGATTAAAAACGTCGGTCAAATTAGGGATATGTCCACACTTCCTTGCCAAAAACTCCCTGTAGTTTCGGACATCCTTATTTGAAGATTCAAGGGCCTCTTCACTCAACTCGCCAAGACCAGTGCCATTGTTCCACTCAACTAACTGAACTGAATGAAAAATCAGGTTGTGAACCGTGATGTTGTAGTCTACCCAAGTCAATTCCGTTGCTAGAAAAAGGGCAAATTTACGAGTGAGCGCTCGAACTTCATCGATAATAAGTGGCTCAGTGGAAGAGACAGCCCTCAAAATAACCGAGTACATGTGGATTAAAGTGTTCATTTTGCCCTTGTAAATGCTAGGTAGAGAATCGATGATGTTAGTTCGAAGTTCATGAGAAAAAAATCTTCGGCCTTGTTGACCGGTGGTAGTGGTGCCTGTGTTTCCGCTCGTAGAGTCACATTGGTCCAATCTAAGGCCCGTGGTCTCTTCAATCTGCTTCAGTACATCTTTCTTTGCCTTATTCAATTTATCTTGACTGTCGCTGCCCCTCACCGTCCAGAGTAGAAGATTCGCTT